GGGGGGGGAAGGGGGGGCCCCCCCCCCACCCGGCGGTGGGGGGGGAACCCCCCCCCCTTTTTTTTTCCCGGGTTAAATGGGCCCCCAAACCCTTTTTGGGGCAAAATCCCTTTTTGGCGGGGGGGGGGGGGGGGGTCCCCCCCCCTTCCCCTCAAAGCGCGGGGGGGGGCCCCCCCCCCATTTTTTCCTTTAAAAAAAGGCCCCCCCCCCCCCAGGGGGGGGGGGGAACCCCCCCCCCCCCGGTCCCCCCCCCCGCCAGGCCAAGAGTATGGCTGCAATCATGGGAACCCCCCCCCCCCCCGGGCGAGAGTATGGTTGAACTCACGGGGAGGGCAATCACCCCGACACGATAGGCCCGCCGAAAGTTTCTACTTCCAACAGCAGTGGGTAGTCCCGTGTCCAACGTACTATAACCAGGCACCGACAGCTGCTCCGTTTGGGAGAGAAAGCAAGCTAAGCCTCGAGCATGCCGGTATGGTACGAATATGGTATGGTATGGTATGGTACGGTGTGGCACACCATATTACCGGTGGACGTGGCACCCCCGTGGGCGATGGTAAATACACACCTTCGCCCCACCAGGCAACGTGTGCCAGCACTTTGACCTCTACCCTCCCTCCACGAATGGCATTAGGGGGGGGGGGGGGGGGGTACTCATAGTCGTGCATGCCGTAGTCGTTTGACCATTGACCTCGCATCCCTACAAAGCCGGGACGGAGCACGCCGGGTTCTCACCGGACCAGGCTCTCACATCACCAAGCGCAAAGCGCCGTGAGGTATTTGGCGAGTCGCATGAAGGGTGAGCTGCATCCTGCTAAGGGTGTTCGGCATCTTGTGCTTACTTCCTTGCGTACGGATGACAGCTACGTATGACTTAATTTATTTTCTGGTGCTTTCACTTCCAGAGACAGTTGTAAGCACTGTGTAACTGCCTCGAGGAAGCTTGACCATTTTAACACAACGTGGTGCGATCATCCCCCGTTGCGCGGAGTGAGGGTTCTCGCCCGCACAACATGATCTACTCGACCACCATTATGGTTACCGCCAAAAAAAAAAAAACGAGGTAAAAAAAAAAAAAACGGTAACCTGGTTGCCGAGTTCACGAAGTGAACTGGCTTATTTTACAACGTCGTTGCCAAGCGACGAAAACCCAATCCCGATGGCAAACACCGAGTGGGGGGGGGGGGGTATTCCGCTGTACTGCAGCAGCGACGGTGCTGCAACGGTGCCGACACCCGTACAGGGACCATGACCAAAATATTTGAGGTACGCGGAACCAATACGTTCCAACTTCGATAGTTTTGTTCGGGGCGCCTTCGGACTGGGATGCATTCCACGCGCATGTCGCCGCTGGGAGCAGGAAAACAGTTCTTCTTTGGCCAGTCTGTCCTCGTCGTCGAAGCTATAACCAAAAAACAACTGCCAGACTGAGGTCTGCATATCGGGCAGCCGGCTAAGCGCGGGCCACGCTAGCTAGCACACAACGCTCGTGTCTTTAACAAGGGCGTACTTCCGCTGTTAAAACTCACCGACATACTTCTTCTCGAACTCTCCGGTCACGTGCCGCTTCACGAAGGTCGTCTTTCCGACACCGCCGTCTCCGACGAGGATAAGCTTAAACTCGGGCATTTCTTGCGCCTGTTGATGGTAAAAAGGTCCGGCGGGGGCAGTGGTTGGGGGGGGTGTTCGTCATGTACGGTTTACGGCTTAGAGAACGCGATGCTCGGCCACCCGGCGAGAGAAATTCGAAGGGCGGAGGCGGGCTAGGCGGAACAACGACGATCGATCGAGAGCGGAGAAGTGCACGCAAACAATCGGGATAAGCTAAAGGATACCGCGAATGCGAATATATTACTGTTGAGGCTGCTGACTACTGCGGAGAGCCATTACCCTGGGAGTCATCAACGCGTGTTCCTGGCGAGTGGGATACCCTGCTTCTCGAAGCAGACCTCCACTCCACAAAAACACGCCGTGACCAATAGAAACGCCAGGGATGGACCCCCACCCTCCCCTCTCCCGGGTGGAGGAGAGAGATGGTGCTGCACTCGAACAATGAATGTGCTGTGCTTAAGCTTGAACATTGTGGCAACTCTGTAGATAATCGTGTACGGGGACGACCTGCCAGGCCTTGCCCACTACCAAACGCTTCACCCAAATGCTGTTGTCACTAAAGCCGACAAAAGCCAGCTCTTGGCTCGAGATATTATATTTCCACCACCTGACGAGACGTTGCAACTCTTCTACAGCAGGAGTTTGTCACAGCAAGATCTTACCATCATCCAGCAGTATTGCACGGAAAAGGGGGGGGCTGGAAGAAAATGGGGGAACACAACGCCGCACCCTTCTTTTTCGCCGTCAAACATGAAATTGGGAGGGAAGATCCCAAAGGGGGACTGTTATCTGTGTGATGACAAGATCGGAGCTGCTAGGTAGTCTTTCTGTGTGTGTGTATATATTTTTCCAAGTAAGTAACACTACGGGCAAAGACCACGGCTGACAATGGGTCGGAAATTGTTCATAATAAGCACACGTGCCTTACATCATCGAAATAACGAAATATCGAACAAAAAAAAGGGGGGTTGTAGGGGGCGGGAAAAAGAGTTCAACAGCAGCGCCCACATTAATCAACAAAAAAAAATAATAAGCGGTCCCTGCTGCCGTCGTACCCCTGTACGCAAATAGGGAGGGAGATGAGGAGGAGGGGGGGGGGAGGAGTTGGTCCATGAACGGCGTTCTGAAAGTGGTGTGGTCGGCAGGCCTTCTTCCACCTGGCAGAAATAAAGGCCCATTCTCTGGCATTAAGTGGCGGGAAAGAGGAAACACTGAGTTTTTGAATCCTGTTCCCCGGTGTTGTGATTGCACATGAAAACTGCGGGGCGACACCGAAAGCAGTGTACTGCTGTTGCACAACCCACAGCAGTGAACTGGCCCACTTGATGAAGTCTCCGCCCAGGTCTACTAAACCAACTTCCCAAAAGGTTGGAGGAATCTCGTGAGGGGGTGGGAGACTGCTGTGTGCTATCTCCTTGTACAAACAATAGATAGCATCACAAGGAGATGGTTTGTTTAGCTGTCGAATCCAAACGTAAAGAGAAGAACAAAGTAATCGGAGACACATTTCTATAGCGAGTTCCGGACAACGAGTGCGTAGATCACTCCCACTGGGACCTCTGCAAACTGGAGGCACACACACGGACACGCACGGCTGATGCTGCTGTTGGTGCTCTCTCTGCCTACATAAGTGCCCTCGGCGGACATTTTCAAACGACGATAACGAAGCGGCGGGAGTACGCCAGCCAACGAGGGCAGGCTCTCCGACAAATAAAACAAGAGTGCGCGCTGGAGATGGCAAGCACTCTGCCGCTGTCATCTTCGATAGATCGAGGCCGACAGGACTGCTGTAGCAACCGCGAGTCGAATATTATTTGAGCTGCGAACGAGAGAAGATGGATGTGGTTGGGTGTGAGAGGGAGGGCAGAAGGGGCGGGGGGAAGAGATAGCAGCAATGATGGCCACACAGCAGACCCAACCCTCAAGAGATTTCCTCTTCAGCTGACAGAGATCCGCCCTCCCGCCATCTACCGGAGCTACGCCTCTGCATCTTCAAGGACATCACTCCCCATTTCAGCCACCGGCCTCGCTCCGAGCCCTTCGCGCCCATTGTACGTGTCCACGTACACCCACAGAGCAGCGACACCGAGACGTGGAAAAATATCTAACCGCGGCACAGAGGGGGAGTAGCCCCGACCGACCAGCGTTTTTGCCACGTACACATCTACCTTCTCCTCCTCACCATCGTGAATTTGAGTTGCCGTGGCACGGAGCAGTCGTCTGGTGCCTGGTTAAGTCTGTGCTCCTTCCTATCCCTCCTTGTATAGCGCGCCTCGTGTAACCTTTGCGATTGATTCCGCCCCCGCGCGCGCGGCAGCTGCAGCTTTGCGACTTTCCGTCGGTCTCTTCGGCCACGCGTTTTTTTTTTTTTGTTATGAAAAAAAAATGCCTCGATGATTTTTCGTCGGTCTCGACACGTCTGGTGGTCGTCTGTTCTTCTGTGGTTTCAAAACAAACGGTGCTACACTTATGGATAAGAGAGCTTCCACACCGCTGCACTTATGGATGCACGGCCTTGCTCCTCTCACACACCACCTCCCCCCCTCCTGTAGGCCGAATGAATTGACCTGTGAGAGTATTGATACAACTGACTCTCGTAGCGAAATCGTAGTACTGAAGTATAGTACCTGTGGTATCTGGTAGTGGACTAATGTTGCGTCAGGTTTTGACATGAAGGAGTTTGCCATTTTCGGGAACGAAACAAGTGCAGCACATGCAAGACGAGGTAATTCCGATCGTGACAATCTTTATCACCCGGGAGTTTAGAAGAGGGCAGGTTCAAAAAAAATAATAATAATACTAGGTGCCGAGATCAGAGTCCTCGCTCGAAGTAAGCCTGTGGTCTGTACTGTTGAAAATAGTCGCTGTTATGGGAGTCTCCAGAGAAACAAGCCTTGAGCGAAAATAGGAGTGCCAAAAGTGCTGGTGGCATGTTCTGCTCAAGAGACACAACTCCAAGACCTTGAGAACAGGCTACTCGTGGCAAGGAAGGTCTACTGGTTGGTTTCAATCATCATATACTTAGTGCAGTATGTTGTGGGTGACCGTCATGGCGCAGGATGGAAAACGCCCCTATAACCACACCACGACAATGCTCATTCAAACTCATTAGCAAACAGGCACACCATGTCCTTTATGCAACAAGGCCCTCTGTGCTCGACCCGCTATTCATTGATCGCATAGGAGGCCGGCGCAAGTCAGCGGTGCTCGAGTTTACACCGATATGTAGCCCTCTTTTTCGGTGTCGTTACACCGTCCGTCCACAAAAAAAAAGGTACTGTCTGCCGCCCCATAGCTAGCACGGCCGCGGAAGCGCAACGTCCAGAAAACCTTGACCACAGCACAACAAAACCAATGAAAAGCGGGATGGCATGGCCCCGACCATTTGTCGGCAGCCCGGGCAGGGCAAACGCTCTGACAGAGAAAACACGCCACAGCGTCGTGTGAAACCCCTCCGCACGTATGAGACAACACCTCCAAAATTACGCACAGTCAGAGGCGTCCCGCCTCACTACTACCGTAGTTCCGAAAGAACAAAAGTAGAACTCCGAGCAGGGATGTGCTATTCTTCTGCGGGCAACGTCTCAGCAACGCGTGCTCATTAGAAAAGGCGGCACAGAGCAGGGAGCGGTGAAATAGCAACATTCCTGCCACGAGACCAACGATCAAGCTACAACCGTGCTCCTAGGCCGCAAGTATCCCCGCAAACACACTCCTACACTCCTGCCAGATACCGCGGCGAAACAACTGCCTACGTTTGGCCTCTGCCTCGCGTACGCCCATACAGCCACCCATCCACCCTCCCTACTTCCAAAGGAGCGCAAGATGGACACACATTTCATACTGAAAAAACATGTCAAGAAAAATGGCCGTGATCGTCGAACGGTAGCAGGAACCGACAGAGAGCGAGAGACAGAGCAACCGAGATCAAGAGATCTCTCGAAATAAATCTCTACTTTACCTATCTAGATCTAGACGGTGAGGATCTCGGCCTTTTTCTTCTCTAACATGCCGGCAATGCCGGCCTCCGCATCCTTCGTGCACTGGTCGATCTTCAGCAGCGGAGCCGGTGTGCGCGAGCGGGCGGTTAAGGCATGCGGAGGGGGTCAGCGAGGATAAGCGTGAGAACAACGAGACCCCAGTCAGACACACCAGGAAGCGGGAAGGCCACCGCCACGAGCGGGTGTGCACACGTGTGGATTTAGATGGATTGCGCTTCTTCTGCGAATAATTTCATCAATCAATCCACGGACAAAGATCACAAGCTGGCACAGCTACGCACACCACAAGGCAAACTTGTGTTGATTCACATCGTATCCCTGTGCAACCGCAATCGGAAATGGCCCGCATTTGTGCTTAACGGGGCCAACGGTTGCAGCATTTGCGCGAAGCACACACCGCCGCAGACAAGGGGTTCCGCCCGTGGCAGGCTAGCTGTATTGAGTGTTACCGTGCAAGCGCGAGCGAACACACAGGTGGTGTGCGATTGGTTACAAAAGTTCGATTGCTGTCACGACCCAGAGGGTGTCAAATTCGACCGACAAGTGCAAGGAAACCTCTCGACGAGATCATTTCAAAACGATATTTTCAGCAATGGCGGCCTCTCTCTCTCTCTCTCTCTCTCTCTCTCCCGGTTGTGGAACAATCGATCTTAAAAAAAACACAATCACCTGGACACATCTGCGTTCGCCAGCAGTTGCTACAATGGCGTTGGGTCGAACGCCGCGTGGCATGCATACACGCCGCAGCCGCTACCACCGCTCTGAGTGCGATTCCTGCCTGCAGACGCAACCACCGCACGCACCTCCTTGATCCTCATGTGGACATCGTCTTCTGGGAATGAATCCTTCTTCTTCTTGATCTGGTCTAAGATCTTGTGCCGAATACCTCGCACCACCACCTTCGACTGGACCGGGGTGGGCGAGCGCGCGCGGCGGGGAGAACACGGAAAAAGTACGCCGAGGAAAAACAATAAAAAGGCGCGGGGAAAGTACAAGCCAGTCAACTGATTAGCAATCACGACAGAAGGAGGTTGGCGAATCGGCGGCGAAGGTGTAGTAGGTATGTGGGGGAGAGAGTCTTGCCATTGCAAGGGTATGGGGTTAGCTGAAGATTAGGCAACGAAGACGTGGGGCGGGCGTGCAGCAGCGCAGATGTAGAGGGGGGGGGAGGGAAGGGGAGAGAGAGGGAGAGAGAGAGAGAGAGAGAGAGAGAGAGAGAGAGAGAGAGAGAGAGAGGCCACGCTTCTGTACTTTCCGCTATAAAAAACACGCACTGAACACCAAATACTAGTACTACATAAGACAACAACAGAGACTTTTCGGCGAAGTGTACCCAGGGAGAACAACAAACATGTCCGAAATCTGAATCTCAACAGCTGCAAAAAACCTAGGGTTGGGGGACTGGCGCCCAGCGCCTGTACCAAGAGAACTGACTGCGGCACGCTGCCAGTTTCCTGGGTATAACCAGTACACTGGCCACGCGGCGTGGTCGCGAAAA